AACGCACTCGTAACTCCTTTGGTCTTGCGGGTGTCCATGGGCGGCGCCAATTGCTTACCATCAGGTAAACCGTCTGCTCATTTGCCGACTTATACTATAAAAAAGTCTATTCTCCGTTAATTCACGAGAGTATTAGTTATTTTCAATAAACTTAGGATGTCTCGCGATACTATACAAAAGTAGTGTTGAATTGTATCAGGTGAAAAAAAAAGGTAATCTTAATCTAGTATGTAGGTACTCTATGAAACAAGATATTAGTATAACAAAAAACAGCTGCTTATTATTTGAGTTTCAGTAGCGCTGTTCTTTAGAACATTCTGGATTAAATTGAACCAAATACTTCTATTGACATTGGCCTGATGGAAAGCAATTTGCGTCTCATATAAAAACTAGAGAAATTGCATGTGTGTTGGGATTAGGGATTTTAGAATTGGGGATGGAGGGGAGAAGATTGGTCCTCCAGAAAGCACAAAGTAAGCGTTATTTTACGTAGGTCTCTCGGTCATACAGGTATTATTAAATAGGTATTACTAAAAATAAGACGATAAAGTTTTCCCTATAATCTTACTTAATAGACCTAGCCACATTTTATATCAACTTTTGTCGTGAATAATTCAATATTTCAATCACTCTTATAGATTACATAAACCTACCACAAAGCTTCGAATTTGATCCCTATTTGTAACTATTTTATGGTATTAAGTAACCCACTAACTGTAACAATAACAAACAAATAAATATAACTAATTACCTAGTAGCTTTAGAACGTGTTTTCGCTTCAAAAATCACAACGTGACTGATTGGCGTTGCCGCGGATTAGCGACGTGTGAGGTCCGCTATCCGCTAGCGCCAGCGTTCCATTCTACATTTGAATTTAAATAATTCCAATTTATTAGTCGCCAGTTTACGAACCAAATAGGTTTTATTTAAATTGTTATCGGTATTGTGAAAGAGTTCGTGATTCGTGAAGTTAATTCGCGATTTTGGTTGTGGGATGAAAATGATTAAGTGTTTTTTAGTTTTTCCCACAGTTTGTGATTTGAAACTTATGCTCAAGTACCTATGGGGTTCTGATTTAATGTTCTGATGTAAGTTCAACAAGGCTATCTATGAACTCACACCAGTATACTCATTAAAATTATATGAAGAACTAAAACGAACTGTTTTTTTTTTTGAGGTAGGTTGGCAAAGGAGCAGACGGATTACCTGATGGTAAGCAATAGGCGCCGCCCACATGAACACCCGCAACAGAGGAGTTACGAGGGCGTTGCCGACCATTTGGGGATTAGGGATTTGAAGATTAAGGGATTGGGGGACGGGAAGGATTGGATTGGATTAATTTCATCGTGTTTTTTTTTACTATACTCAAGACTTAACATTTGCATGGAGTGCCTAAAACAACAAACGACTATGAAACGTGTTTAACTAGGTTCCTTGTATCATCTACCATTCATGAAAATTTTGTCTTTATTTAGGTACGATTTTAAGTCTAAAATCCAAAGCAAGCGCATAACACCGACTCCACCATAGACAAATACAAATTGCTTAAAAACTCCGACGCTTTCAAAACACCACGAACTGGCAGCTTCAGAACTAAGCACAAAAATAAAAAAAAAAACAAATTCATTCGAAATTTAAAAATTCGAAAAAAGTCGTTACTATTCTTCCGTAGATGTTTATCGAAGCGCCTAATGGCCTATTGTTACGGATGCATTCCGTGTTTTTATAAACTAAATTTTTAATTATGGCAATTTTTAGTGAACGCTGCCTTAGATAGCTGGTCGATTGTGATGGCTTTGTCTTTTATGTCCTCAAATCTTTGTTTGATAGCCACTAAGTAGGATATTTTTCAATGACAACTTTTTGTGTGTTGATACTTCAATGGTTACAAAAGAAACTCTTAGTTAGAAGCTCCTTGATTTGTAACTTTACAAGACATTAATCACATCATCAGCCTATAAGTGCCCACTGCTGAGCAAAGGCCTATTCTCACACGGAGAAAGTTTGGCCATTAACCACCACGCTAACTCAAGGCGGATTGGCGATTTCAAACTTATAATTTAGAAATTATAAGTCAAGGTTTCTTCACGATGTTTTCCTTAGTAAGCAATCGACACCGGCCACAGACACTTGCAAGGCCAGAGCAGTTACAAGTTAAGTCGGTCCAGAGCAGGAGAAGGAACAGGGGGTTTTTAGTCAGTAAGAGTCTGACACTCTCTCTCGCCTTACCCTGGACGGGAGAGGTTATTTAATGATTTTCCCCTGACAAAAAAAAAACAAAAATGAGTAGTTAGGCACAAGTGCCTTACGGCCTTTTTGGAGGAAGAAGGAGGATTGGTTTCATTGAGACTGTACCAAAGTTTTCCACGCTGGTTTATTTTAGTACGCGCATTGAAAATTGATTTATGGTGGTGGAGCACGCCTATCCATATCGTCGGCTTAGAGTGAAAACCTGCCAAATCCATTTTTTGACGTTATAACGTTTTTCATACGAATCAAATTAATATGCAGCCTATTTACTCGGGCCTAGAAGAAACCCTAGAGGGATAAGTACTAGAAATGGACTAGAATAGTCACTGTATGGTATCCAAGGGATAGAACAAGCAGCAGGGGAATACAGTTTAAGCGATTTGAAGACGATATAAAACAAGTAGCTGGACCGGAATGGATACGCATAGCAAAGCACAGAGACGAGTGGAAAGCCTTAGAGAAGGCCTTTGTCGAAAGACAAGCTCGAAAAAAGAATGGAAACCGAGTGCCGAGTTAATAAATTTGTTTAATATGTAGATTAAGATTTAAGTATTTTGATTTTATAATTCTAAACTCTGGTAACCAGCAATAAAGGCTCATTTATTTAGAAGAAACCCGGGTTATAGGTACCCTTCGTGAAACACAGACTCCAGCAAAGAATTCCTATCCTCTGACAATAAAACTGGAGGCAACTACAACCTACTAGGCACCTAGCTATTCTATACGTTCTAAAATCAAATTTACATATACGACACAGAGATTGAAACAGATTCTTAATTAAACAAAACAAATAAAAAAAAAACAACAATTCTCTGAAACAAACCCAACGAGCACAGCTTGTCATCAAAACAAGTCGACAAATTGTTTCTCCGCCCGTTACTTCAAATTTGAAATAAGAACGTCACTGCTACTCACTTGTTCTTATTTTGAATTTCGGCTCCTATATCGCACGGCTACGGAATGGCGTCGAGTTGTTATTGTGTTTTGTTTTATTTAAATTGAATATTGATTTCGTTTTCGTTGGCTGATTAAATGGTTTTAAATAAAATTTCTAAGTATGAAGTTGTGAGTTCGATAACGAAATTTTGCAAAGGAAGATTTGGATATCGGAGATGATAACCGCCAAAGGATCTATCGCAGATTGTCTAGCGGCCGTAGCAAGGTAAGGTTGCTATATAAAATGGACCTCCTATGTATTAATACATCTAGGGTTGCGGGGCAAGCGTAATAAGGTACCGCGGCCTCGGCCTAGAGCAGGAGAAAGAACGGGGGGTTTTTAGTCAATAAGAAGCCGCTTAACTCGCCCTGGGCCAAAGTAGTCGATTGAAAAATGAATTTAAGTACCTATACATTCATAGTAACATTAGTAAGCGGTGTGTCAAAAACAATTTTCTAGATTACATTTAATAACATAACTATGTCCCTGTTACTTTACAAATTGAATTAAAATTATAAATAACGACTCCATGCCTCGCTTTCAAATCTCCAATTTCAAAATTCGGTAGGACATTAAGTATCAGAACCTCTCATTGGTCGGTTCAAAAAAGGAACACAATTTTTCTTAAAAGCAACGACACAACGTTGTACAGCCAAAGTATATTTTATATCACACACACACAGCGGTTCTTTTTTAAAAAATGCATTTACTTAATTGAGTTTTTTTTTATTTTATTTTGAGACCCGGTCTTTTTGGGGGCTTAAATATTTTTCGATCTTAATTTTGTGAATTATTTTATGTGCTCCGATTTTTATCTGTGAATTGGTGCGGTTTTGGTTTTCGAGTAACGGATTCGGTAAAGATCCAAGGGGGTATCAAATGGTTTTGGGATTTAAATTTGTTATTGCGGCTTGCAAATTAGTTGGGCCATAAAATTAAGTAACCGTCTCATTGGCCGAGAACTTGGAAAGTGCGAACACGATATGAACCCGAATGAAGAACTTATTATTCTTTTTGAAACTTAACGGTGCTCAAAAATTTTGTCCTGTAGGTACTTTAAAATTGCTCCCCCATCCCTTCCCAATCCTTAAGTATACGAAATCCTTATCCCCAAAAGGCCGGCAACGCACTCGTAACTCCTTTGGTGTTGCGGGTGTCTATGGGCGGCGCTGATTGCTTACCATCAGGTAATCCGTAAGCTCGCTTTCTGACTTATATATATAAATTACACTCGCCCAAATTATTTTATACTAGCTATTGCCTCGCGGTGTCACCCTCCAGGTACTCGGCTCTTATAGTGAAAGCATTTTGGACATCTGTTCAGCGGTTCCAAAGATCACCCCCTACATACAAACTGCAACTATATCTTTATATAAAAGTAGTTTATTTTGCTTTGGCGTTTCTTCTCAGAGTATTATTGATATAACGCTATGTAAAAGTACTGTCTGTATGTTTGTTGTGAGTGAGAATTGATCATTGTGAGGTTACAGAAGGCCCAACCCCACCCTACCCTCCACAAGGCCAATAACGCATACGAAACTCTTCTATTGTTGCAAGTGTCCATAGGCGACAATGATTGCTTACCATCAGGATTTTTTTTGTGAGGGGAAAATCATCAAATGACTTCTCCCGCCCAGGGTGTGGCGAGAGAATGTGTCAGACTCTTACTGACTAAAAATCCCCTGTTCCTTCTCCTGCTCTAGGCCGAGGTCGCGGTAACTCATTGCGCTTAACCCGCAACCCCGGCTGAACATCAACTCTATAGGGCCCCGTCTATGGTGGTCTATTGGCTCTTTGAGGCGCGCGCGGAACGCTACGCGCCGTAACCTCGGGCCTGGTTCTGGTCGGGCGGCGAGCTACCCTTACTCGCCGACCGCAGACCCGCACTTACGGTGGCCGGAGATCGTCCCTTGATCCCCGACGCCAGTAGTATGGCCTGTTGCGGCGGCTGGGGCGTGAGGAGGAGGATTGCTCCCGCACGCGGGCCGCCTCCCTCTTTGCGAGCATAATCCTGTGACGTGGGTGCGTTTACAAACATACAATTTCACATACACAACACACCTAGACCCGGAACAACAATTTGTGGATCACAAAAAGAGTTGTGTGGGAATCGAACCCGCGACACGTTGCACGGCAGCCAGTTGCCCAACCACTGCACCAACCGTGCAGCCAAAGTCGAGTCATTTACCGTCTATATAATAAAGAACAGATGTGCTTATAGTATATAAAAGGAACTGATTACATAGGTAGGTACTACTACAAAATAGAGATGAAACTATTATGGATGTCGATTAGACGCGCCGCATGCTTTTTGTGCTAGTCCCACGATACCTACCTAAATAGTTTATGTTCAGTTTTGGTTCCGTACACCGAAATTACTAGGTACTAGGAAAGATGTTTTTTTTCTGTTTATATAATGTGACCTCATACGGTAACATCATAAAAATTACAATCTAGCTTTAATGCTAATAAGTAATTAAATTTTGTCTTAATTTGCTAGGAAAGTATAACTAAGAATGTGTCCATTAACACTTTTCTTATTGTCTCTATTAAGGGGAAGACACTTTGTTATTGTGTTTTTTGCGGGTAGCACTCTCTTCTTTACACTAACACTTCACTACGTTAATTCAAAAGGTTTTGTCCTTTTTAGCCTTCTCACTAAGTCCGAGTTGTCGAGGAGCTGGATAGCCTCGATGTTCACATGGTGGTGAAGCCTTCGTTCATGGGCTTCTGCATACTTTTTAATTATATCTATGACGAGGTCTACTTTGAGGTCCCGATGAAGGTCGTCATTGAGGAGAGATGTGACACACATTACATAAGTACCTACGTGGTTTTTATATTGTGAAGTGTATGTATAATATGTTTGTATGCGATAAACTCGTAAACTGCTGCACCGATTTTCATACGCGTTTGATTTGAAAGGTTATCTTTTCGATTTTTATATGATTGGTGTCAATAGACAGGTTTTTTAATACGTAGTAAGTATCGTGAAACATACCAAGTTTATTGAAAACTAGCTACTGCCGCGCAGCTTCACCCGCTACTCGGCTCCTTTTGATCGTAGCGTGATGTTTTATAGCCTACAGGAACATTATAGCTATCTATCACTGAAATAATTTTGGCAATCCGACCAGCAGTTCCAAAGATTACCCCCTACATAGAAACTTACAAACTTACAAATTTTACCTCTTTATAATATTAGTTTAGATAAACCTTCCTCTTCAATCACTCTATCTATTAAAAAACTTTATAATATTAGTATAGATACCTACATATAATATGGTATAGATAAGTTCTAGTTACAAGAAGGTATGTAAGTAAGCAAACCATTACCTAACATTTTTCATACGCAGTCGGTTAAAAACACAAAACTTTTAAGGGTTTTATAATAAGTTAAATTACTCTAAGGTACCCTAAGAGAGGTCTCGGCCAATAAATAAAATCATTACTCTGTCTGTCTGTCTGTCTGTCTGCATGTGTGCGTGATCTCGGAAACTAAATTATCACATTTGTTAGAGCCGAAAATTTTTGTACAGGGTGTTTGAATATTTTATATTAATAAATATCGAAAGTAAACAATTCTATTAATTACACTTTTTTTGTTATAGGAAACCAAACGAGCATACTGATTACCTGATGATAAGCTATCAACGCCGCCATAAGCTATGAACACGTAACAACCATGGGATGGATTGGGCCTCCGGTATTTCACTCACACGTCCAAACAATATTAATTTATATATCCAAAGAGTTTATATAGAAGCACTCTTAAAGATTGTGAGTACGCATATGTGAGCGCCATGTTCGAGACGACAAAGGATTAAAATTTTATGATAGGTCCTATCATTTGTTCACTTTTTTACAACTTGTCCCTGCATTGTTCTCACACAAGGGTACAATAATGTATACTAAATGTTATATTATTGAAATAGTAAAACAATTTAAAAAAAAAGAGTAACGATGGAGTTTCTTGCTCGTTCTTCTCCATTCGAATCTACAATTTGGAACGAGCACCTAGCTTCACTGACGAACCGACTGACAGACTACTTTTCTATTTTGACGTTTCAAAAGTACCTATTTATTTTTTAGTTGGAATAAATGATTTTGACTTTGACTTTGACTTTGAAACACAAACTTTTTTTTTGAGTGAAAATCATCAAATGCCTTCTCTCGCCCACGGAACGGCGGAAGGGAAAATTCGTTGCACCTAAATTTAGTACAGCAGTGTGATTCTGTAAGACTTCATTCTAAACTTCGAATCTGAAATCGCTGTGAGTAGTAGTACACTAGCGCCACACTTGCGAGTTGAACTAAATTGACAGCAACATTTTGATAGATAAAGTATGAAATGACGTGTAAAGTGGCATTCTATAATGTGAGTTCCCCGTCACTTTGGCGCTCATTTCACACTCGGAAAAACTCAAAATCAAACAAATTTTATAGAATCAACGTTCAGTTAGCCATGCTTCGGTACGAATGGGTCGGCTCGACCGCAGTGATACCACGGCCTCACAGAAAACCGGCGTGAAACAGCACTTAAGTTATGTTTCGCTGTGTGAGTGAGGTTACTGGTGGCCTAGACCTTCCGACCCAGTACCCCACCCCTATCCTCAATCTTCGAATCTCCTATCCTTAAATACCTAATAACCCGTAACATTCCTTCTACTGCTCTAGGTTGGAGCCGCGGTATATTATTGCGCTTGACACGCAACACTGGCTAGACTTTTTAGAACCCTATAGGTAACCTAGGTAATTGTTTTAGGAAACCTAAGATTGTAACTGAAAACTGTCGAAGATGTTTGCTTAACGACCGGCACTGACGACTCAGTTTACTCAAGTAATAACTACAGAGAAACGAAAAAAAACTTGTTAACTACCTAACTATACCCCCCCTTCTCCCACCTTCATAATGAAGTGCCGGGTTTTTGTTGAAAAATTGCAGTTAATTCACGCTTAACACACGCAATGGTTAACTTTTAACTCATTCCTAGTATTAAAACGCTAACTGGAATTTTAAAACAATAAAAAAACCTAACTAGTTAGGTAAATTGCTTTTAAAAATGTGAACACCATGTACATAAAAACAATAATCACCAAAGCAAACCGCCCATGCACTCCGATATAATAAAAAAATATCCGCCGTCTCTTTCTAACGCGTTTTAATAGCTATACTTGTTTCTTTTACACCCAAAATGGGAAAGAAATTAATAAGTTATTAGTCCAGTTTGTATTGATCCGTAGTTGATGGTGGAATGCTTGTGTTGAGGGGTCTAGTTATGTTGGGTGGCGGCCTATTTTCTAGCCGCGTCGTGTGTATATAATTTACTTGGAGTTGGTAAAATAATAATTATCTTTGGGCTCATTTTGACCTTTTTTGAATTTTCTCATTTCGAAATGAACTGTAGGGAAACCATGTTGGATGGGAGATTTGGATAAAGGGCGGTAGTTAGGTAGGTACCCCTAAAGTAATTAAAAAAATACTTTCGACATCTATAGGTAATTTCTATTAGTGTCCTATTAGTCGAACTGATTATAAGTTTACTGGTTAGATAGGTAATAATTTTTGATTTTGTTAAATTTCATTGTTAGGTAAGTAGGTTTTTCTATCAAAAAATTATATTTAGATGGTCTGAAGTAAAGCTGGATCGAATTGTCAACAAAAAAACAAGCATGGACCATGAAGCATCTACTATATTATTCCCTTCATAGAACTATGAAGGGAATAATATAGTAGATAGTTTCATTTGAAAATGTAATGGAAGCAAATAGAATCCAATATCACTGCCCAACGCAGGCATCAAATCTAAGGGTTTATATCAAACAATATCTGATGCAATCAACATACCAAATAACTCACTTTCCAATTAAAAATTCCCGAAAACAAGCCCTTACTTAGTCATGGTTACCTTATCACGCAACGTGTCAGCCATTTTGAATTTTTTCCCTCCAAATAATAATGGCGGCTTCAATCTGTAGCCGCGGGATGACTTCATATAATCTATGGTCTGCCCGATGACTCTATATTATCTATTGCTTTTTTATTTTTTTTCTCTAACCATAAAATTATTAGGTAATATAATATTTTTTGTGTGGGAATGAGAAATGGGGAACGCAATGTGCTTGTCAGCGTCTACAAAGAGCTTAATGAGAGATATAGAATTATTATATATACTTGTTTACAATCACATAAATATTATCAATAAATTATAACAGGTTTCTTAATGAACTGACATGTAAACAGCAGCTCATGTAGTGTAGACGTCCAGTCAACTGATGGTAACGGTGACTGTCCAGGCGACACACGTACTTAGGTATCGTCATGAGCTAATGTTCACATGTAAACAGCAACTCATGTAGTGTAGACGTCCAGTCAACTGATGGTAGCGGTGACTGTCCAGGCGACACACGTACTTAGGTATCGTCATGAGCTAATGTTCACATGTAAACAGCAGCTCATGTAGTGTAGATGTCCAGTCAACTGATGGTAGCGGTGACTGTCGAGGCGACACACGTACTTAGGTATCGTCATGAGCTAATGTTCACATGTAAACAGCAGCTCATGTAGTGTAGATGTCCAGTCAACTGACGGTAGCGGTGACTGTCCAGGCGACACACGTACTTAGGTATCGTCATGAGCTAATGTTCACATGTAACGAGGTTGACTGTCTGAGCGACACACAAAGGCACTTAGCTATTAGTAAAGTTAAAAACTAGTTTAATTTATTAATATGAAGAAATGTAATATTTTACGTAAATTAGGTTCCTAGAATGCTCAAGTGGAAAAAAAATAACTTCGAAAATCAAATTCAAAATAATAAAGGTAAACTCAAAAAATCCACAAACCACGAAAACAACTCTACAAAACAAAAAAAAAACCTAAATTCAAAAACGCAAAACGAACCGCCCATTACCTTCCTACGAAAAAAAGAAAACCATCACGACGTCACAACACAGGGCCACAGAATTAATTTATCAAAATAATTACCAACACAACATTAGATAGGTAAGGTCTAACTAACTATACGTAAAAAAAAACAAAATTTTTCAAGCAAAAAATGCAATAATTCAATTGAAAAAAAATACAAATCTTTTGTAGTATTTTGTCACTTTCCGGCCACCCACGTTTGAAAGTGCCCCGCGTGAAATACGGCAGAGGTGCGCCCTCTATCGGCGGTTCCCTCAAAAGTTCGCCGCCTTAAAGTCACCGAAAATCATAAATAACACGGCTCTTGTTGTAAACCTGTCAAAATATTGGAATCGGTCAATTGTTACGTAGGGAGATTAAGCTCTTTGTTATTTCGTTGCTCTTTCTATCTGTTCCTAGTGATTTTTGCCGCTAAATTTCATTTTATTTGGTTTTTAAAAGTTTTAAGGAAAAATTCGCTGTTTTTTCTTGCTTATTTCTTGATACTTAGCGTACTTGTGATCTAATTAATAAGTTTTCATTACTAGATCATGTTTTTTTCTAGAATTGTAACTTTTTTGGATCTATATAGTTTTTAGGTGGTTAACTAAAGGGAAACAAAATCTTGTTACCTATTTTTTTTGTGAGGTGAAAGCATCAAATGTCTTCTCCCGCCCAGGGCCGGGTGGGAGGGAGTGTCATACTCTTACTGACTAAAAACCCCCCGTTCCTTCTCCTGCTCTGGGCCGAGGCCGCGGTGCCAGATTGCGCTTACCCCGCAACCCCGACTGAACATCAGCACTATAGGGCCCCGTCTGTGGTGGTCTATTGGCTCTTTGAGGCATCTTGTTACCTATGTCTTTTTTATATTAAAGAGCTCGTATAAAGTACATACAACTTTTATTTAACTCCATTTTATTAGCTAACATCGTTTTAGGTAAATACCTGATTGTAAACATTTTTACATACAACTTTTAGATAAAAAGACATGTCAAGACTGTTTTAAATTTAGTTATCTAATTACCTAAGCCATATTTACATCTTTATATAAAAAAAATTCGTGTCACGTGTTTGTCCGCGATGGACTCCTAAACTACTAAACCGATTTTAATATTGATTTGCAATCCGCGTGCATTTTGATCCAACTTGAAAGATAGGATAACTTACATCTCAAGTGTGTGAGAGTAGCTAGTAATAGATATAATTTGTATTAAAGAAAAAGGGGGGTGAATTCCAGCAAGGTGCACAGTTGATTTGTACGGGTAGTATAGGCACGACCTTGTAGCCAGGATCATTCATCAGCAGCTTGCTCTGAAGTACCTATCTACTCATTTTTTGTCTTCTGACAAAGTCTTTCTGAAATTAGACAGAAAAGCGATTTTTTCTTCTCTGGCAGAATAAAATACTTAGGTCAATTTTTTTTCGCGTTGAAATATCGTGTGTCGTCACGATTTTGGTCATTTTTTTATTTAGATTACCTATTCCATAACTGGCATAGAATTCTAAACTTTAAATCCAAAATACGTCTCCGTAATTTGTGATTCAGGCTGACCTAGTTTGAGGCCAATGTGTAAATTATTGTAAACATTTTATAGTAGGTATCTATTTAACGACTTTTCCTTTTTTCTTTTCTTTCACAATTTCGATCTAAATATTATTTTGTTATGCGACAAAGCAAAAACTAAGTAAGCGTCAAAGTTTTTTTGCAGGTTACTCCCGCGAGTTTTTATTGGTAGCGTGATGTGGTACATTCATATCCATATACATAATAATATATCCTATAGTCCACCTCTATAAAAGAACTATCCAACACTAAAATAATTGTTTAATTCAAACGAGAAGTTCCGAATATTAACTCGTTAAATCAAATAAACATTTTTTTAAAGATGCACCTTCTCCTGCTCTATCATTTTCTCTTGTGAAGACACAGGATGCTTTTACAAACATACAATTTCACAACACACAACAATTTGTGAATCACACAAAGTGTTGTTCCTTGCGGGAATCAAACCCGCCACACGTTGCGCGGCAGCCAGTTGCCCAGCCACCGCATCAACCCTGCAGTCGAAACTCTTCAGCTTTATAATAGGTTTTTTTTGTATAGGTAGGTCGGCAAACAAGCTGACGGATTACCTGATGGTAAGCAATCAGCGCCGTCCATGGACACTCGCAACAGAGGAGTTACGAGCGCGTTGTTGGCATTTTGGCGATTAGAAATTTGGAGATTTAGGGATTGGAGGACGGGAAGGATTGGGCCTCCGGTAACCTCACTTACACGGCGAAACAACGCTCTGGTTGTTTCACGCCGGTTCTCTTTGAGGCCGTGGTATCACTCCGGTCGAGCCGACCCATTCATGCCATTCATAAAATTACAGGTATCAATGTAGTGTAGACTATGTTACTTAACGGAATGACCATACCCTGTTATTACCCATTTTATTTACAGACCGCTGTTTTGTTTACCCCATAAGAAATAAAAGTCTTTCGTATTATGCCGTGATCCAGGTACTCTGTTCCAGATACAGTTGACCGCAGTGCCATCTGCCGACGGTGGACATGTAATTACTGGTCAATTTGTTACAAATAAGTTTGGACCTTCTCATTAGGAGGGGGAGGGGGGTAGGACTGTCATTGGACATGTGACAGGTGGCTTTTGGAGATCTTTACAATTCTATGGGTACTTAAAACAATAATTTAAATCTGTTGATTTCTTTTATTTGTTTGAAGGAGCATATCTCTGGAACTAAAGGTCTAACGTCGCCGCACGCGACTTGAAACTAAGTAGTAGAACTTTCAGTTATTTTACATCACGTGTATAAGTGGATATTTTCTATAAATTTAGGATTGTTTTATGTAATAGGTCGGCAAACGAGAAAACGGATTACCTGATGGTAAGCAATCAGCGTCGCCCATGGACACCCGTTAGACCAGAATGTTTAGGTAAGTGAGTTAACGGCCTCAAGGAGGGGCGATCTATCCTCCGCTTCGGTGACTACTAACGGAGCAAACAACAGCAATAAGCGTTGCTCCACGCCAATCTCCTGTGCGGCCGTTGTATCACTCCGACGGAGTCTGCTTTTTCGTGTCACCGTGAAATATTAACAACTAGCTTCCGCTTGCAGCTTCGTCCGCGTGGTACGTTGATAAAAACCAGTCTAGGTATGTGTTAATCCAGGGTTATACCTATCTATGTACTAAATTTCAACAAAATCGATCCAATTGTTTCTGAGCTAAAGAATAACAAACATATGTACATCTATACCTTGTCACAAATTTTCATATATTTATAACTAGCTACTCTCGAGTTGTTTCACCCGCTGCTCGGCTCCATATGATGGCAGCGTGATGTTTCATAGCCCTCAGGAATATTGTAGCTGATTGATGATGATGATGGATTGCCAAAATTCAGTAATAGAATTTTGGCAATCCATCCAGCGGTTCCAAAGATTACCCCCTACATACAAACTTAAGTACATTTTTTTCGGTTTTTTTTTTTTGTAATATTAGTAAAGATATTAAGGAGGATACATAAATTAAATACGGAACCATCGGCCAGGATCTCAAGTGTGACCACAAAGGAGGTCCGGAAGTCAGTTCTGACCTGAATCCCAGCGTCCATATCCATATGTTGGCCACATCAAATATTTTTGAAAAGAAACCACAATATCAATAATAAGTTTAAACTCTCACTCAGTAAGTAGCCTGTACTTTAATATATTTGTTATAAATAAATATTATTATCTGTAATGTTAATTTTGGTATGAAATTTTATGTTTTTGAGGGATTTTTTAACAAAGATAAAGAAGGAAATTGTGAATTTGTTTCGTTTACTAAGATTTTTGTGGTAAATTATTTGTTAAAATAAATACCTATAAGTATTTTAACAAATTATTTTGGACATAGATACTAAGTCATTTTATACCCTTTTTATAAGTTTGTTATTTTGGGAGCAGTACCAATCAGTATTATTTTTGGGTAGGTAAGTAGGTTTTTGGGAAGTCATCTAGGTACTTACCTAGTTACTTTCCAACCGTTTTTGTGAAAGGTAATCATCAAATGTCTTTTCTCTCCCAGGGTATGACGAGAGAAAATGTCAGACTCTTACTGACTAAAAACCTAACCGTTCATTTTCCGAGCCGAGGCTGCGGTATCATATTGCGCTTGATCCACGTCCTTTTCTAGCTCTTGATGAGGCGACAGAGAGTCCCAGATTCTTATTGATTAAAATGCACGCCGTTCCTTCTTCTCAAGGCCATGGTATTTAGGCACTTTGTACGTCAGTTTCCCAGACCCGAGCGAATGGAGCGTAGCGTTCCGCGCGCGTCTCAAAGAGCCAATAGACCACCACAGACGGGGCCCTATAGGGCTGATGTCCAGCCGGGGTTGCGGGTTAAGCGCAATGCGTCACCGCAACCTCGGCCCAGAGCAGGAGAAGGAACGGTGGGGTTTTTAGTCAGTAAGAGTCTGACACACTCTCACCTTACCCTGGGCGGGAGAAGTCTCGTAATGGTCATATGAGGAAGGAACGTCAGTTTTCACATTGCTCCAGTGCCGAAAAGTTCCAAAAGGAGTCTGTACTGAGCTTCTGTTGAATAAAAAAATGACAATTTAAGTATTAATACACCATAACTGTAGCCTCGAGTTAGTGCAAAACCGCAAATCCTGTACAAAGACTATAAATAGGTATCTACCTAAATACTGTGTTGATAAACTACCAACTTCGTTAATTAAAAAAAGGGGGAGTCTTAATGACAATAAAAAGCGGCAAATTAATTGCAGTTATCAAAGTAATTTAATTAAATGCACAATCCACACAAGGTGTTTTTTGTTGTGGTTTCTTTCCGTGCATATATTTTGCGTTTATTAGTAAGTGGGTAGTATTTACGCTTGTTTCCTATAAGCAATGGTTAAAGAATATGAAATTTAAGAATATACTTAATATATCAATTACTGAATATGGGTTTACTTTTCTACATATTTATAAGTATCGAAAAGTCTAATCTCGTAATAGGTAATTAAAAATAAAGGATTTTAGAAACCTAATTTACAAATAAAGAACTATTGGTTTATTCACAATCACAAAGATCAAATTCTCTTCATTGATTAATAAAACATGTCTACAGTGGTATCATTATTTAATGTTTTTAACACAATAAAAAGATAACATTGTTTTTATATAAATGAAGATGTTATATTATGATTGATATTTTTCTGGTGCTACGTTTAGCGCCATCTATTGACGAGTAGTGTACTTATCTAGAAGTAAAATCTATGCTGCCATCTAGTGTCTAATAGCAATACTAATAAAAACCGGATGCACCCTTAGGTGATATAGTTATTACAATCATAAGACAGATGGCGCTGTTTCACGTCATATAAAAAATAAACACCTTTATTGTTGTTAAGAATTTTATAAAATTCTTAAATAAATGCTTCAGAAACAATATTTCTTGTAAATTGAAAGCGCTGCTAAGCTTTTGTAATGAGAATCTCCTTGCGCTAATCCTCAATATAGCAGTCTAGGCGCAACAATCTGTTTTCCTATCATTTTTAATCAGGTTCCATTTTATCACGTACCGTATAAGTAAATTATTATTTTTAAGCCTCATATTTCCTTGAATTTTTTATTTATTTATCCTCATTCAAAAATTAAGTACTCGTTATTAATATTGCATAAATATATTTGTTAGACATGAGGCTGACACAGGGCGTGAGTAAGGTCCTCTCAAAAAATGTCGTTGACAGACTTCGAAGCTGTCGCTAACAGACTCTAAGAAAATACAAGCACTTTTGAACGTCAAACAAAGCTTAAAGATAAAAAGTGTCAGTCTGTCGGTCAGTCCTCTTAGTGGAGCTATTTGAAATTGATGAAATTGCAGAAACTTTATCCAAATAAAACAAATAAAAAGTAACATAAAATATATATTTCTTATTGGCTAAATACATAATTTTATGATAATAATAGTTATAATGCTATATTTTAAAACTAAATCGCCAAGCGGCCGCCATATTTCACATATTAAGTATCTCTGTTACACAAATCCCACACTTTGACAGAAGGAATGAATTAAAATTACTTACAATTAATTTGATAACCGAATTAAATCCTTATTTGCCATACGAACAGCTTTTAAAACCTATTTGTAGATTTATTTACTAAACCCAGAAAAGAGATAATATGGTATATTTAATGTCAAAGTAAGTCTAGTATATTTAATTAAAACTTTAGACACAAATTTGTTAGTATGTTTTCCAAAGTGCAGTAAGCAAATAATAGGTCTTTACCTATGAAATTGTCGCCAAAATAGTTTTTGTTAGGTTAAAGCTAATTAATTTTGTTTTAAAAACATGGGATTCTTTTTCCAAAAGTAGTCATTTGTTTATTGATTAGTGTTACATTTTCATCGCATTTGAAATAAAAAAAATCGTTTAAATTTTTTCATGCAAAACGGCAATTTCATAGGAAAAGACCTATTATGAGCCTGAGGCATAAAAGGTGCGGACTGATCCGAGTGAAACACCGTGTTTTTCTCAAGCTGCAGCCCCAACCAGAACAGACAGTTCTCAATTAAGGATTCAATGCTCCCACTCCGAACTTTAATTCATATTATTAGAACATTTTTTGCTCAAAAATGGTACTAGATTTTTAATTTTCATAATCCCTTTTTAACAGTTTAGCATTGCAGTTAGATGTTATAATTCTAGTAAGCAAATCTTCAGATAGGCTATTACAAGTTGATGGAAAAACACCGTGCTCCGACCAGATAGCGCAACCAAGAAAATATGAAGTACCTAATACTAAATCGTCCCAGCGGCGTCGCCCGCAGTGCCAGGTAAATAGCCTATGTGTTATTCAAGACGATTACCTGATGGTAAACAATCCGCCCATAGACGGGTGTCCACGGACGGCAACACTCATTTTAGGGATAAGAGTTTCGGATATTTAAGGATTGGGAAGGGATAGAGAAGGGAGAGAGACTGGGAAGGGATGGGGGAGGAAGAGGAATTGGAAAAAAATGGGGGGAGGGAGAAGGGATTGGAACACCGGTTACGTACCTTATTCACACGGCGAAACGCAACGCTGTGGTTGCTTCACGCCGGTTTTCCATGAGGACGTGGTATCACCCCGGTCAAGTTGACCCACTCCCTCACTTAATCTAACTTTGTGGCAAATTTTATTCAGATCCATTCAGTACTTTAAATTCAATAGTAACCAGACTTGTATTACGATATCATTTAATACACAGGCTAGGCCATTAACTGAATGGCTGTTAGCTAGCTGCCTGCAACATAGACAATCGTAGTGTATCGTCTGAAACCAACCTGGTTGCGCCACCGGTTATACAACAATGTCCCAATAAAATAAAAACCTTATTTAATTCATCTCTAACAATTATTCATAATAAGCTTTTTATCTAAATATATATAATTTTAATTAAAACTTCTAAAACAAACGTTGACCGAAGAAAAAAAATTGTAATAACAGCGAAAAGAGAGCATTTTTTTTGTTTGTTTTAAAAGTGTAAATATGATACTGTTGATGGTGAAATAATTATAAGCATTTTTGTGTAAAGAAGATCTAGTTTTTTGGGCTTAAAAAGAGTTTCTATTCTAAGTACTTATTTTTGAATATGACTTAAGCTCATAGAATCCAATTACATGATTTTAAATATATGCTAATTATAAATGTATATAATTTTAACTTAAATTTAAATTAAAATTTTATATTAATTTTACTTAGGAATGTGCAACTTTTGCCTAAGTACTAAATTATTTGCAAATATTAATCAACTTTGTTCAACTGACACGACTATAAACTACAGTAGCGCCATCTACGCATTGCAAAAATCAATTTACACACCTAAAAACTTCCGATCAACGTTTGAATCGTCTTCTGTCTCACTTTCTAGCTCCTTTCTTCTTTTTCTTTCTCTTTTTGACCTCACTGTAGTCGTATTCGACTGTAGTACCAGATAAATCTTGGTATCCATCAGCTTTTTGGCTCTCGTAATCAGGGAAATTAACTCCTTCTGTCTGTTGATAATTTTCGGTGAAGGTTTCTGAAAATTTCGTGCTCAAAGTTTCGGAACCAAAGAATTTCGTCGTGTAATTTTCAGATGGGCGTTGTAAATTTTGATATTTCTCGTTGTGTGGGTAGATTGTGTTTAATATGTTGGTTGCTATGGCGACCGGGGTGGCGGGGTAGGCCCCCTGCTGCATCGGTCAGAACTTCAGGTCCTGGAATAGTTGAAAAGAAGTATAAATAAGTGCATAGTTGCTAACACTTGAAATAGACTAGACGGACTGTCGCATTGGTTGGACAAATGGGTCGATTCTCGCACGGAAAAACACTTTGTGTGATCCACAAATTGTTGATTCGTGTCTGAGTGGCTTGGGTATGTGAATTTGTACTTTTTTTTTTTAATAAAACGTTGCCCCACTCTAGGATTTTCTCCTGTGTCGTGGGTGCGTTTAGAAACATATAAATTCACATACGCAACACACCCAGACCCGAATGTAAATCTCAGTTTGGGACACGTTTGCTTTTTCTATAGATAAAATTATCCTAGTAATAGTCACCTATTGCAACACGGACTCATAATTGCCTACATAGAAACCAGTCAAATAAAAATTTTACAATTTTCTACAAAACAAGGCTTTTTGGTTTGTACGTTAGGATTTTATCGTCAAATAGCATACGTATTTCTAGAAAATTTCTTAGAAAAATTTCGAATTTTAAAATATTTATCTTAAAACTATAAAAATAAATGGTAGTTTAACTATATTTTTAAATATTATTGCAATATATTTTTTGTTTTTTGTTTTAATCCTTTTTTTTATTTCAAAATCTATATTAATTATAGTTAAACTGCGTAAGCTGCTTTATACCTATGACTATTTAGTTTTGAAGTACTTTTTGAAGAAAAATAAATCATTGATTCATGCATTGATTAAGCTAAGGAGATTGATAAGTTTTTTCGAACTCTTTAATCTCCTGAACTAGGTACTGGTTCGAATTAAATAATTCTTTTTGTGTTAGTTAGTCAATTTATCGATGAAGGGTATAGGCTATAACATCACGCTACGACCAGAGGGAGCCGAGTAAAACCGAGTGGAAGTAGCTTGTTATTTTTATATTTTGTGATATTGTAATTTTAGATAAGTACTACAATATTATTGTTTACAATTACAATATGTAAATAAATAAATGTCTGAGTTATTTATCATGTCATTTGAGAACAATAGTAGGGATTAATTATTGTATTACTAATTATTAATAATTCATTGTTCAGATATCACAATTACTATGTATATAAGTAATTATTTACTAAAACTAGGTATTCTAATATACAAATAAAAAGAAACTCTGTCTGTTTATCAGTTAAGCAACTACACTAAAAAACTAAAAATGTGATAGAGCCATGCTTCGGCACGAATGGGTCGGCTCGACCGGAGTGATACCACGGCCTCACATAAACCCGGCGTGAAACAACAACAGCGTTGTGTTTCGGTTACCAATCACCCAATTCTCCCACTAATAAATTTTTTTCTATTGTAAGTATAGAAAATGTGACTTTTTCCGAGTTATATGTACTTTCTATGATTATTTAGACACCACTGACATTCGGTGAAGGTAAACATCGTGAGGAAACCTGGACTTATAATATCTAATTATAAGTTTGAAATCGCTAACCCGCATTGAGCAAGCGTGGTGATTAATGCTCAAACCTTCTCCGTATGAGAAGAGGCCTTTGCTCAGCAGTGGGCACTTTTAGGCTGATGATGATGACATCAAGTACCTAACAAATTCGTTTTTTTTTTTTTCATACTATTAAAGCTGACACCATTGTTTGTTTGTACGCAAAAATCTCCGGAACTACTGGTTCGAATCGAATGAACTTTTTGTGTTAAATAATCCATATATCAAGGAACGCTATAGGCTATAAAACATCACGGCACGACCAACAAAAGCCGAGCAGTATGCATAGCTAGTACCATTTATAGTACAGTACAAAAACTTTACAATCACAGATTTAAAACACAAGAGAAACCAAATAAAAATTTTGTCTTAAAACTAACAAAACAATCTAAAATCTTAGACAAACATTTAAATATGCTTTGTTTAACTTATCTATATGATAACTGAGAAATAATGTCAGTACCGTGGACAGGGTCGAGTGAGAATGACGTATAAGTGTTAGAGGTTTAATTAAAATTAATATTTTTTTAATTTTATTGGATGGACAGGCTACGGCGATCGAAGGACGGACGGCCAATGGGCTCGAAAAGTACTAGAGTGGCGACTAAGGACTGGTAAACGGAGTGTAGGACTGTCTATTGTCCTTAAGGTTACTTTCTTTTTATATTTGAATAAATATTAATGTAACACTGTTCTCACATAATTGAACCAACTGTTTGTAAGAGGAATTTGTATGTGAAACTGATTTAAAAAGAGTAACCATGGAGTTTCTTGCTCGTTCTTCTCCATCGGAATCTACACTTTGGAACGAGATAATAGCTTCACTAAGAGGACTGACCGACAGATTGACACTATATCTTCAAAATTTTGTTTCACGTTCAAAGGTGCCTGTTAGGTTCTAATTGGAATAAATGATTTTTGACTTTTGTAGGCAGGCCTTGCACTAGGTGGACCGACGACATCGTCAGAGTCGCGGGGAGTCAATGGATGCAGGTGGCAAGTTGTCGTTCGACGGGGAGGCTGATGATGATGATTGAATGGGGCGATTAACGAGCAGATCACCTGATGGTAAGCAATCATCGCTGGTACAACCATAAAGCAAGAGGAATTTCAAGTGCGTTTTACAAGGATTGGGCCTCCAGTAACCTCACTCACACGGCAGAAGGTAACGCTGTGGTTATTTCACGCCGGTTTTCTGTGAAGCCATGGTCGATGCAATTAGTAAAATCTTATCATTATTGATATTTATGTTTTTGCTTGTTTAAGTAGAAGTATGAATGTGGAATGTTCTAAACAAGTATTTAAGGAGCAGATTAAGTGGTATTCAGTAAATTCTTCTTACCATGATACAATGTTTTCAAGTACCTAATGTTTTTTTTTTTTTCATTTAATTTCAAAGTATTTTAGGTGTGGTATTAATTTTAAGAGACAAATAGTCTCTGTTTGTTTAAAAAAAATCTGATAATCTACTAGACTCCACCAAAAAAACAACACTCCTTTTTTTAGGGCAGCCGTTTAAAAAAGAAAAAAAATAGAAAAAATATGAAACAAAATTTTATTAAAAACCAAGTTGAAAACAAAGAAAAAAAAACATGAGATTGCAGTAAAACAGAGGTAAATTATTGAGGTAGACATTTTAACAGTATTTATTACTTATTTAAAACTGTTGAACTCCGCTAATTTTTTTTTAAGATTAGGCCATAGACTATAGATTATTAATTTCTTTAATTTTAGCTTCACAGGGTCTTTATGACGTCAGGACGGATTCATAATGGCACTTATTTATCACAATATTAATTTTTAATATATTATTTATTAATGTTGACATTTTTATATAGTAATTATCGTCAAAATTACATAATTATTTGAAAATATCGACATACTCACGTGAATTGACAATGAAAAAAATTTTTTTTTTGCCAATAGGCCATAAAACGACACTTTTACACGTCGAAATTATGAATTTATAAAAAAAACTAGATGAAACAAACTCAGAAATATCTATCACTTTATTTAAGTCTAGGCAATGTAAAAAAAAACAATATAATCTTTATATTTATATAAAAATTTCGTGTCACATGTTTGTCCGCGATGGACTCCTAAACTACTAAACCGATTTTAAATATGATTTGCATTTCGTGTGCATTTTGATCTAACTTGAAAGATAGGATAGCTTACATCTCAATTTATGGTCACAATATTATTTACCTTAGCCACAGCAACGCGTGGCTGGGTCTGCTGGTACTAAGTATATAAATAAGCTCTACCTAAGTCACAACCGGCCTCTTAAACCTAGTTTTAAGTCGTAATGGCACTCTTATTCAAACTAGTAGAGCTTTTCTCACTCAATTTGTAATATGATTAAAAGACTTGGATCTTGGATACTTGACTTTAATTACACAGTACACAGTCGTGCAGCTCACTGCACCAGAGTTACATTGTCAATGGCCGACACTCTCTCGGTCACCCTCTTTATAGTGATATGACGACATAGACAATTATAGTGCGACACTAATTAGTATTACTAATCATAGACAATACAACACAATTCACGTGATTAAGTCGTTATTTTAAGTAAATTTGAATTTAAATGTGTTTGTCTTTTTATATGTTTATTTTTTTTCTTGTACTTAAGTTTAATCCCTCTTCTGAAAAATTCGGTAGTGTACCTAATGCAGCGAAACGGGATAATCCTGTAATAGGTATATTGTTTCAATAATAAATAAAAATAATATCAGAAAAAAAAAAACAAAAAAAAGTTATAACCAAAAAACCAGTAACGTTTCCAAAAGGAGAAGGATTAAAAAGTATTTAATAAACAAAATACTTATTTATAGTTTTATCAACAAATACGGTAGTTTGCAACTAGTCAAATTCAATACTTTTATTTAAATTTCAAAACGACACTTTTCTATGAAATTTGTATGAAAAACTGGGTAATGACGTCATAGTTTTTATTGCGTCATATCGGATACTTATTTCTTAAAAAATTTCAAAAAAATATCTAAAATTCAGTGTATCGATCGATCGATGAATAAAAGTATAGTTACTTATCAATATTTTATTGTATTGAAACGCTGAATTAATTTAGTTTTGACCTAGGAAATTACCCAATTTAATGTAAAAAAAAACCGTTTTTATTGGTATTCCTTATAGGCACTTTTTGTCCACCATCTCGCAAGCAATGATTCTACCTACGATGGAGCACGCCTACCGTTTTAGCTTTTTTTTTGAGCGCACAGATACACAATCTTGTGACTCGTCTCGCCCTGTATAGGCGAAAGGGAGTGTCAGACTCTTATTGACTAAAAACGCCCCCGTTCCTTCTCCTGTTCCCAGGCTGAGGCCGTATATTATTGCATTTGCCCTGAAACCTCGGACGCTTACCCAAAGGAACCTATCCATTCTTCCAGGTTATCCCGTACTGGATATAAATGTTGGAAACAGCGAAACGGCCAGGAAATATTCTTGACTTTTATTATATTATACAGCTTTTAAATTCAAATGAAAAAATACAAAATCGTAGCAGTTCACACCTCGTCTTCCGTCCGTCACGTCTTTCGTCTGTTTTTTTTGCTTTCATTCGTTCTCTTTCTCGCTGTCCCGTTCATCATCTCACTCGCGCCGTTCGGATACACGTCTAAAACACTTTAGTTCAATCTATCACACGTTTGGATACATCCCATTCCCACATAAATTTCAGAAAAAGCCTTCTTTACAGATAAAAAATGACATATTTTGTATATCAACACACATCAAAACATCAGTCTATAAGTGCCCACTGCTGAGCTAAGGCCTCTTCTCACACGGAGAACACTAGAGCATTAATCATTACACTTAAGGCTGATTGGCGATTACAAACTGATAATTAGAAATTACAAGTCCAGGTTTCCTCACGATGTTTTCCTTCACCGTATGTCAGTGGTGTCTAAATACTCAATTCTTCATAATTATTTGGAAATAAGTTTTCGAATGTTCAATTTTGCGTGGCTGTGTTTTTTTAAAACATTGCCCTATACTAGGATTGTCTCCTGTGTCGTGGGTGCGTTTACAAACATACAATTTCACATACACATCACACCCAGACCCGGAACAACAATTTGTAGATCACACAAAGAGTTGTTCCGTGCGGGAAACGAATTGTGTCTTTTAAATTATTATTTGAAAGGTTAATGTTATTGTAAAACCTGTTTTAAAACTAACAACATAGGATATTTTTTACATCGACATTCCTACAGAATCCAAGACTTCATTTTTTGAGCATTAATCACCACGCTTGCTCAAGACGGATTGGCGATTTCAAACTTATAACCAAAAATTATTAGTCCAGTATTCCTCACGATATTTCCCCTCACCGTATTTGATGTGGTGTCTAAATAATCATAGAAAGTACATTATAACTCGGAAAAAGTCACATTTCGAATTCTCGTGTAAGAAAAAAGAGGCGCCTTAACCTCCGGGCCACCACGACAATTTTTAAATCGACAAAATCGGTTTCTACTAGAGATATCTATTCAACGTAGGTAAAGCTGCAAAGGGAAAGGATAGTACTACAAATAACAGCTCTAACACTGAGCTGATCTCCGTATCCTCACCTTGATGGCCTGCGGAAGGTCGGGCAGCTTCATGTCACGGAGTTGCTGCGGGAGGTTCATACTCTTGACGGCAGAGACAGCGCGCGCCGGGGCCGCCGATATACCAGCCTGAAGAGAAGAAAAATGATAATTTTATAATAACACTTTGTGTATGATAACGTAAGCTAATGCTAGTAATAAATGTATATTAAGATACAAGTATCAGTAAAACCTAATCCCCAAAAGGTCGGCATCACACTCGACTCTTTTGGTGCTGCGGATGTCCATAGGCCGTAGGCGGCGCTGATTGCTTACCATCAGGTAATCCGTCAGCTCGTTTGCCGACCTATCTCCTAAAAAAACACAATAGGGATAAAAGATCATTAGTTATTAATACGGTAGTTTCCAACTAGTCAAATTCATTACTTTTATCCAAATGTCAAAAACGATACTTTTCTATGACATTTGTATGAAAAACTGAGTTATGACGTCATACCATTTTTGCGTCAAATAGCTTACTTATTTCTTAATAATTAGCTAAAAAAAACTAAAATTTAGCGTATCGATCGATCGATGAATAAAAGTATAGTTATTTTTCAATATTTTATTGTATTGAAACGTCGAATTAATTTATTTTTGACCTAGGAAACTACCCAATTCATGTCCATCTTGACTTGACTACATAGTATAAAACAAAGTCGCTTTCTCTATCCCGATATCCCTATGTAGGCTTAAATCTTTAAAACTACGCAACGGATTTTGATGTGGTTTTTTTAATAGATAGAGTGATTGAAGAGGAAGGTTTATATGTATAATAACATCCTTTAAATAGTGGAGACATTTAGTATCAGCATTGCATCCGTGCAAAGCCGGGGCGGATCGCTAGTAAGTATATAAAAACAAGGAAATAAAATAAATGTGTAAACAATTAATTAACATTTTATTTCACTCCAACAAACACCAAGGACATTTATTTTAAGCGGATAATGGGTGTGATAAATATTACACTTACTGCTAACTATAGTTCGTTCCATAATTAGAGACAACGATTTGACATTTCGAGTGTTGCAAGTTTTTTCCATTTCATAAATAGTGAAGTCCCGCGACCGGTATTGACCGAAAGACCGAAATTAAATTCTGGACTTCGTGCATTTTAAAAGCTTTATTATTTTTAGGTACTTTCCCTGGTACCTTCCTGTTCCCATACTCACTCAGTCGGGTTAAAATCATAATCAAAGATAGGCAAAGATAGGCAAAGATAGGCTGGCTGTGCCACGATTCCGTCTGTCCAAGGTACAGAAATCCTTTATGGGGTTCTGTGTAAATTGTTACAATAAAATTCCAAGTACTGTATTGAATCTTTACGAACGAAAATTTAAAACTTATATTAAACGGGAATTGTGTAGACAGGCATACTACAAACTTTCAGATTATATTGAGGATAAGAATGCCTGGCAGCATGTTGATTCGGCTCCACTGGACAATACTCAAATATAGTCAGCAGTTAGGTAAAATTCTCAAAAATAATGCATCCTTAATTTATATATCCAAAAAGTTTATATAGAAGCACTCTTAAAGATTGTGAGTACGCATATGTGAGCGCCATGTTCGAGACGACAAAGGAGTAAAATTTTATGATAGGTCCCCTCATTTGTTCTTTTTTTTAACAACTTGTCTCTGCATTGTTCTCACATAAGGGTACACTAATGTATACTATAAATGTTATATTATTGAAATTGTAAAACATTTTTTTTTTTTTTAAAAAGAGTAACGAATGGAGTTTCTTGCTCGTTCTTCTCCATTCGAATCTACAATTTGGAATGAGCACCTAGCTTCACTGACGAACAGACTGACAGACTACTTTTCTATTTTGACGTTTCAAAAGTACCTATTTATGGTTTAATTGGAATAAATGATTTTGACTTTGACTTTGACTAATGGTAAGGAGGCAACCGTAAAATAGTGACCCACCTTTTAGCAGCCATCAGTCCACGACGTATCGTTCGTAATTACTCTTCTATTTCCGGGAAATCTTTAACAGCTCGGCTTTCAGCATAGGTTCCTCAAATATATGTACATATAATGTTTTTCTTTTAGCCAGTCTTGGATTTGGCATTTTTATTTTAAATTATTATTATTAATTCTACTAAACTATAAAAACATCACCGTACCTTGTTTTATTTTGCTCAGGGTATTTTATAAAAAAAACGGTATCGATATTTTATTTAAAACATCGTACTCGGGCCCATCACTATGTCAAAAAATCTGGCCACATTATTTTGTAGTTTGACATTTGCTGTTGTCAAATTGTTGTCTCTAATTATGGAACGAACTATACACTACTCTTCTCACACGGAGAAGGTTTGACCGTCAATCACTTGCTCAAAGAGGAATAAAAACAATAAGACCATTTGATGATTTTCCCCTCACAAAAAAAATAAAATAAAGGTTTCTTCACCGTACGTGAGTGGCGTCTAAATAAACTTAGAAAGTATATAATTTGGAAAGAGCTGCATTGATGGTAGCGGTATCCAAATGTCAAAAACTATACTTTTCTATGAAATTTGTATAAAAACTGAGTTATGACGTCATAGTATTTTTGCGTCAAATAGCTTACTTATTTCTTAATAATTAGCTAAAAAATATCTAAAACTTAGTGTATCGATCAATCGATGAATAAAGGTGTATTAGTTATTTTTCAATATTTTATTGTAACGAAACGTCGAATTAATTTATTTTTGACTTAGGAAACTACCCAATTATATCTACTTGAGTTGCGTACTTTAGCCGAGCTAACTTTAAACGCTGCGGTTTTAGAAAACCCGGAACACATTACTTTTAAAAGAAACTAGACGCAAAATAAAATAAAAAAAAAATGTATAAAATCTACAAAATAGCTCAATTAATATTCTTTTGTATATCTCCGACTAACCTCAGCTTTTTGCATCTTGTTTTGTTCCTGTAACCTGCATAATATGTCCGCCATATTGGTCTGGAGAACCATTCCTCCCATGACCAGCTCATCGAGGACCTGGTGAGCAGCGTCCGCGTGGAAGATCAGGTCGAGCTCGCAGACATTCTCGAAACATTTGTCTAGTGTCTCAACGAAGACCTGTAAGAGGGAAATTAGGATATTATTGAGTTTGGTATAGCAATTTCTCTTTTTTATGGAGTAGGAGGCAAACGAATTGTTAAAAAAAAAGGAAATAAACATTGTAGAATTTTTATAGCATTGGCAACACTACGAGCATGTACCTATAGCTATACTTCTATATAGTATATTGTCTAGGTTTTTTCTTTCTCTATGATTTCACTCTCCGTGTAATCTATGTATATCTGTTCATATTACACAGTTTCTTTATTATAATATAATATAACCACACGAATAGACCGATCACCTGATGGTAAATGATCAGCGCCGCCAGAGGAGCCATAGGCGCATTATCGGTTTAAAAAAGCGTGGGCTTTTTTCTTACGCCTTTTTCTGTGAAATACAAATCCCTAATCCCTAAAAGGTCGGCAACGTAACTCCTCCGTTGCGGGTGTCCATGTCCAAGGGCGGCTCTGATTGCTTACCATTAGGTAATCCGTTTGCTCGTTTGCCGACATATCACATAAAAAAGCAAAAACAAAAACAGCTTCCTTACCTGGATCAGGTCTAGAATGCCCAGCTCGCTCTCTGAGGAGTCCACGCAGAATACAAAGTAAAGAGTAGCGTAGTGCCTGTATATCAACTTGTAGTCGGAGCCGCCTATTAAGCTGAAAGGGAGAGAAATCACACATGAATTTCTCGCTTACATACGTATGTTTGGAAACGCACCCACGACACAGGAGAAAATCCTAGTGTGGGTCAACGTTCTATAAAAAGAATACAATCGAATTGAGAACCTCCTCCTTTTTTGAAGTCGGTTAAAAAAAGAAAGAAAGTATAAACTACTGGATAAACTATACTATACGATACTGGAAAGGATGGGGCCACACTGACGGGAAATGCCAATAATTATTGCAATAATTGGGTAGTTTCCTAGGTCAAAAATAAATTAATTCGACGTTTCAATACAATAATATATTGAAAAATAACTATACCTACTTTCATTCATCAACTGATCGAGACACTAAATTTTAGATATTTTTAAGCAAATTTTTAAGAAATAGGTACTTAACTACGCTATTTAACGCAAAAATACTATGACGTCATAACTCAGTTTTGCATACAAATTTCATAGAAAGGTATCGTTTTTGACATTTGGATAAAAGTATTGAATTTGACTAGTTGGAAACTACCGTATTGATGATATTGAACAATGAAAAATATATATTAAATCATTTGTTTAGTGATTAAATTACACCTACGATTAACGTCCATAATCGCAATAATTAATGGCATTTCCCGCTAGTGTGGCCCAAGTATTAGTGAGAATCTTATCAACTCAGGGCGTAGGAAGTCATTACTTAAATGACATTCATACCCCAAAAAAGATAAAACGCTTTAAAAATGATACCAAACACGGTATAATTATCTTAACTTTACTTTTTTTGCTCTGGTTGTTTTGTCCGCTAGAGGACGTCACATTAGATTTTGTGATACATCATATAGCCTATAACCAGCGGACAATTAAGACGTTTCTAATGATATGTCATATGTCGAATTCTGATAAGTAGTTTAGAAGTTCGGAGGGAACAGATGATCATACATACATACATACATAGCCTGTCAAAATCATAACCCTCCTTTTGCTTTGCCGTAGTCGGGTAAAAACAGAGTCGTATGGAAAATACCGTCATATAGAATGCGGTTGAGTCTCATCAACAAATGTAAGTAGTGGAAAAAATCTTATAAAATGTGTGTCTTACCTTCCGCCTTCAAGAAAATTGCACACATTGTCGTCCCGTTTGGAGACCAGCTGGAACGTCTCCTTTATTATCTGTTGCTGCATATCTTCATTCTGAAATTTAAAGAAATATGGTATAAGGCATAAGCAGTAATATTTAAAACTTTTATTAAGTGTGGGGAGCCAAACTTCTGCTCGAAACGGTCGACTCGGCCAGAGTGGTACTGCGGCCTCAGCGAAAACTAGCGTTCAATGTGCGCGTGAGTGAGGTTACCGGAGGACTAATCCTTGCACCTCCCCATCCCTACCCCAATCTTCAATGAGGCTACAACCTCCAAAAAGTCCGGCCAGCTTACCATCAGGTGATTCGTCTACTAATTAAGTGTGGGAGAGCCATGCTTCGACACGAATGGGTCGGCTCGACCGGAGTTATATCACGGCCTCACAGAAAACCGGCGTGAAACAACCACAACGTTGTGTTTCGCCGCGTGAGTGAGGTTACCGGAGGCCCAATCCTTCCCCTACCCCAATCCCTGAATCCCCAAAATCTCAATCCCTAAAAGGTCGGCAACGCACTCGTAACTCCTCCTTTGTTGCGGGTGTCCATGGGCGACGCTGATTGCTTACCATCAGGTAATCTGTCTGCTCGTTAGCCGTCCTATCACTTAAAAATATATATATAGGTATTGTGTTAGTCAACTCATACTTATTGGGACTCAATACCGGATAGACGGTAAGAGATAAAAACTTGAATATTTCGGCAAAATTGGATAGTTCTTAAGGTCAAAAAATATTGAGAAAAAAAATTAAGTTTGCAGTACCTACAAATAATTAATCCAATCCATCCAATAAGTACCTAATCATATTTTCATTAATTAATTTTATATTTTTTCTCTAAAAGCTCGTTTAAAAGTAACTACTTATGCTATTTGACGTAAAAAACATTATGACGTCATTGATATGTATTTTTTTTGTCAGGGGAAAATCATCAAATTACTTCTTACGCCCAGGGTTAGGCCGTAGGCGAGAGTGTCAGACTCTTACTGACTATAAACTCCCCCGTTCCTTCTCCTGCTCTTTGGATCGAGGCCGCGGTGACTCATTGCGCTTGATCCGCAACATAATCATGTTGCGTTGTCAAAAAGGTATCGTTTTTGACATATCAATAAAAGTATTGAATTTGACTAGGTAGTCGAAAACTACCGTAATTCGAGACGCCATATTCAATTTTATTAACTCCACTTAACAATGAGATTCATTCATAAAATAACTTGTTGCTATGTCAAAATTAGTTCATTGCGATGCCACATGTTGAATATAAATATGTAATAAAACATCGTTAACAAAGTTAATGTAAATTTATGATAATCATTTGTATCTTGATTATCCAGTTCTACATACATCCTACTCATATTATAAACGCGTATGTAAGTATGGAAGGATGTTTTTTACTCTTTTCCGTAAAAACTACCGAAACTATTGAGGGGCAAGTGCAATGAGGCACCGCGACCACGGTCCAGAGCAGGAGAAGAAACGAGATTTTCACATTTGATGATATTCCACTTAAAACGTTTTTTACGGTAGTGTGAATATCATGGTGGCCCGGAGATATTAAGGAACATGTTACTAAACTAATATTATAAAAATAAAGGTAAATTTCTAAGTTTATATGTAAGGGCTAATATTTGGAACCGCCGGTGGAGTTACCAAAATTATTTCACTGTTAGATAGTTATAATGTTCCTGAGTACTACAGGCTATATAACATCACTCTGCGACTAATATGAGCCAAGCAGAGGTTGAAACCGCCCATCAGAAGCTAGTATGACATAAAAAATTAAATAAATAAATAAATGTATAGGCCAACCCTGGTACTGGTGGCAAAACCACTAGCAGACACTAAAAGTATTCTAGAAGTAAATATTAAACCATGAGGTGTGTAACACAATTTGTTATTGTAAAAAAAATATGAATGGTTTGCAATATTTTATGCAATACCAATATAATATGTTGATGGCTTTGTTCAGATGGTTTTTTAATTCATTTTTGATATAAATGTTGCCTCTCTATTTCTTTAATTTGCTTTAAGAGATTTTATAAAAACAAATGTAACACCATAAAAAAAATGTGCATCTTGCGGGATAAGCGCAATGAGGCACCGCAACCTCGGCCCAGAGCAGGAGAAGGAACAGGGGGGTTTTTAGTCAATAAGAGTCTGACACTCCCTACCGCCCGGCCCTGGGCGGGAGAAGTCATTTGATGATATTCTTCTCACAAAAAAAAACATCATCATCAGCCTATAAGGGTCCACTGTCCACTGCTGAGCGAAGGCGTCATCTCACTCTAATTTGAGGATTAACCCATGATATATCACATCTATGGGAAACATAATGCGTTTTCTGTTGTCTCGTACATACCTTGCGACTGCTAAATTGCAATTAAAATTATTTTTTATTTAACTTCCCTTCCAACTACAGGAAGAAGAAGTGCCTATGTAACTTTTCTTTTTATTTTAAATTTTTCTTCTTCTATACTATAATTACTATTTACTATAATATAATTTTATAAAGAGGTAAAATTTGTAAGTTTGTATGTAGGGGGTAATCTTTGGAACCGCTGGTCGGATTTTCAAAATTTTTTTACTGGTAGATGGCTACAATGTTCCTGAGTGCTAAAGGCTATAAACCGAGCAGCAGGTGAACCCGCGAGAGTAGCTTAGTTATAAAATATATATGTGTATCATACAGTAACTGTAATGAGATCTACACAACTAAAAATAATACTGGTAGAGACAAAAAAAGAGATAGTGACCAAACAGATTAATAATATCCATTTGCAAATTAAAAAACAAACAGTTAAATAAAGGGAAAACTGTAATAGTACTAAATTATTCCTCGTAGATATGTATTTTTAAGTATTTAATGTAATTTCTAGCATGCAAACCGCAAGCGAGTTCTTTAATTCCATCAATGGAGCATAAATTTCATTTACTCCGACATATTTTCTATATATTATTCTATATAGGTGCATCGAATAATTCCCGAAATCTATCTCTATATTGTAAATATTTGCTTGAGACGTCTCGTTATCAACTTAAATCCACAAATTATTATTATATTACTCGTAATCGAATATAGGGTCGAACTCCCAATGATAATCGCCCACTAGAGTGACTAACGAAACTCCTATAAATAATAGGTTAAATAATTTTGCCGTCGAAATATCGAACATTAAAACCGGTTTTGAGTATAAATAAGCTACAGCCTAACATAGGCATAAAACATGCATTTCTTTGTACACAAAATAAAAAATAAATAAAAACTTTCACTCACGAAATATTGGTAGAATTTTGACAGCCTCGGCTTCCCATGATTGTTGAATACTAATATTGCCTTAATCATTGTGCTACTTAACAATTAACTTAACTAATTCAATATTATCATTTAGTTAAATATGATAATTCTAACGTAATTCAATCATGAATGAAAAAAATATCGATTCTGTTTGGATAGAATGACGTTTTCAAATTCGTTCGGAAATTGAAACAAAACACGCGTCATTTAGCTGTCAAATATTAGCGTTCCAGGTTTTCATTTCTTTGTTATTGAGCAGAATTTTGGGTATCAATCTTTTTTATTTGGTATTCAATATGAATCGTAGCTGCAATAATCTTAGTATTCAGTTAATAAGCTATCAGAAATGCAACATTGTTATATTTAAATATTTAATAGTCTTGAAAAGTTGATATGACATCGATGATGACACGTATTGCAAAAAAAAATTCTGTTTTTTTACTAAAATGATGTATGATTCATTTGTACTAGCAAATTTATTTTAACATACTATAAACAATAAAAATATCTTCTTACATACATTTTAACTTTCAATAATTAAAAAATTAACCTTGAGAGATAGTAGTTTCTAAAACTTCGAAACAGGCAACACTTAAAACTCGCGAACGCGTTGTGCTGTCTGCAGCAACCCGCGAGTGTCACAATAAAAAAAATCGCAAAAACTAAATGATTTTTGTGTGAAATAAACATTTATTGTTAACTTTCAAGTTCTGTACAGTGTTAAATGTTTGATGGAAGTGTATTTGCGGTCTGCTGATGCTACATTAACTAGAAACAGGTCAGTGTAACAGAAGATGAACATAGTATATTTTGTTGTCTTTATTTGGATGTTCACTGGTTTCTCGCGGTGTCGTATGGCTTATTTTGAATCTCTGTATATTTAAGAATCACCTTTGAATTGTAATTGGGTAAGAAACGAGCGTTGATCTGAGAAAAATAATATAAATATGGCACTGTTGGTTGTTGTGTCGTGTTTGTATAACGGCGTAAATTAAGAAAGCGTGCTCGTCGCGGTCGTCTGTATTATTGTAGAATTCGTTAAAACATAATTGTTGCTGTTACCGCTACTGATTAGAACGCCGGTAGAAGGTTAGGAAGCTGAAAAATGTACATTTTTACGCCACATTTAGCCATGAACCGTTTCTCTTTAGGATATTGTGCAAAACGGGATTTTTGTGTTGTATGCGGAAAATAAAGACGTTATAAGATTGATGATTAGGGTAAAAATGTTTCAAATAATTCGTTTTATTTGGGCTTTTGATGACTTTTGTGTTATTAAAATGGATTCTAGACTTGATTGTTGTTTGCAGTAATTTTTATTAGACATTAGGTCAAAGTTTCATGAATAAAATATAATTGAAAATTAAAACTGTAGTTGTAAAAAAACTATCTGACCTTGTTTCTCTCTTTTTTGAAGAAACATGGAAGTAGCCCTAAGACGACCCACTGACCATGTTTATTAGTTTAAGTTAACAGTAATATTTATTTGCCCTAACTTTTCTTTAAGAAATTATAATTTTGAATTAAATTCAGTTGTATTTTATTAGCATTAGCAAATTGTTGTCATTGACCTGATATCACAATAGAAATAAAAAAAAACATTTTTTTTTTAATTCTAATGAAGACATTTTAAAATCTAGGTCAATTAACCCTTTTAAAGAAAATACTGCATTCAGACAATTTTCATCTTTCATGCCACAGCTTTAAGACATATTATCACTCAACAACAGTTATTGCACAATTTCTTTTTGCAATGTCTACCATATTGACTATAGAATAGAGGTCAAAGTCAGTTGAATGAACTCTAAATAGGTTTTATTACTATAAATTAATCAACATGTGCACCACATTTTTTTCTCATGAGGCAAATACTGAGAGATGTCAGTGGTGTGTAAATAATCAAACACATATAACTTGGAAAACGTCACATAATTATGTTCTTGCCAGGTTTCAAACCTGCACCCATGCATGAAAAGGACACACCTTAAACTCCAGAATACTACAACATTCTATCTGTGTCTATCAGTCACCTTCAATTCAAGGAATAATAGGTTTGGTTAGGGAAGGAAAGAGTTCATAATGATTTATTATTGTTACTGGATCTCTACATGTAATTAAAAGTTCACTAATTTCTGCCAGTGGCTTCACCAGCAGCACGGCTGCGGGGTATATTTCAGACTACAATCTATCTCTATGCCAAATGGAATTCAAATCCATTCATTGATTTTTATGTAAAAAGTAAAAAAACATCCATCAGCACAGATATAAATAAGCTTATAAATATTCCAGATTCTAACATTAGAACAATAAGTAAAATTTTATGTTAATTAATATCATCATAGATCATAGAATAGATATCTGATATATTAGAATATAAATAAATTAGAATAGATTCCTGGACCTAGGATCTTTTAGAAATAGAAAAAAAAATATCCAAATTCCAAAATCATTCTTTAATGTGATGTCATCATGTCAAAAATGTCAATGTCCAGGGTTGCGGATCAAGCGCAATAAGGTTCCACAGCCCAGGCCTGGACTCTCGTTTCTCTGTGGCCGAGCGAAGAAGTTCGACGTCATTCGACGAAGTTCTCCCCTAAAAAAATTGTGATGTGTATTATATTAGTCCTAAACTGATATATAACTTCAAATTCGAAGAAAATTCCAAGCTTAGTTCAAAATGGATCTTTAAAGTTTCAGTCATGGTAACAAGGGACACACTATTAATAAAATATGTGCACAAACATCAGTGTTTGCTTGGGGTTTGGTGTGATGCAAATAATTTATATTGTATATCAATACAATACATCAATATGGTCAATTGAGAGCAATTAATCACCAGTTGGCTGATGGCATAGAATTGTTGGTAGTTGATAATAAGAAACTGCAGTGCATAGGATCAGGGAGGATAGATATTTTCTGACAGTGTGAGAGAGAGAGAGAGAAACATTATATGCGTGGATGTAGCCAGTGTTCTTTATCATTAGGCCTATGTTTTTCTTATTGACCTTATTAATCATTTTTTATCATGGCAACTTCTACCATATTTTTTGTTGAGTGATAAATTGACTGTAGAGTCCCTTGCCACAGAAGGTAATGTTACCAAAGGTCAGTTCGGTTTATAGGGTTGTCAACTACGTAAAGTTATGTTGATGGTGTTACCAATTATGATTGTGTAAATAAATACATACAAATACAGTCATTACAGCTGACAGCTGTTTTATACTAGCCAATATCGAGCTACGAATGACTACAGAAAGTTTTAAATTTCGCTGCCGGCCTTGATGCATCCAGCAATTAATTTATTTAATAGAAAAAAGTCGGGCCCTCGCACGATCCCTTAACTCACTCACTCATTTTTCATGGCGTCGGGCGGTCAGTTTTTTTTTTTTGTGAGATATCACTCTTTAGTCTGTCCCATTCGTGCCGAAGGATGGCTCTCTCACACTATACTTTATAACACTCGGGCTCTTAGTAAGTGTTCCATTTTATCCTTATACGAAGCCCTGAAAGGGTTACAAACTAAAATCTTTTCCCATTTCTAATAAATCTTGACATATTTTTTCTACGGTAGATTATATGGCAACCCTAGCTCTAATCTACCAATACTTTAGGTCGGTCACCGGTTCATGCGAACACCTGCTTCTAAATGTTAGAAGAACTGTTGTAATGTGACGCTTGAGTGGCAACTAATCGATGCTGAGTAAACCTTAACCTTATTTTAAAACTTTTTTCACTTATAGAATCTTTATGTTGACTGCCTCGGATGATTAGAAATAATTGGGTTGTTTCCTCAGTCAAAATTATATTATTTAAATTTTCAGAACTATTAAAAACAGTATAATAGGCACACCCTCATTCATTTATTTTACGATACACTTTCACGAGAAAAAGTTTTTTATCATTATACATTATACACGTTATAGATATATTTAAATAATTCGTGACGTTAAAAATATGACTTCGTGATATGATTATTTATATAAAATTCTCGTTTTTCTCGGTAGTGAGTTTGTTATAGATTTTCTGTAATATTTTTTTTAATAATTATAGTTATAAGACAGCACAAGTATGAAGTCATACTCACTTTCACTCATAATTCTAACTCAAGCTGTCTCTGCCTACCCCGTAAAAAAACATCATAAAAGTGTTGCCCTATAAAGTTAAACTGACAATGCTTAATGCCCACCCCGAATATTCATCTTAAGACCTTCCAATCAGCCAGGGTTGCGCGTCAAGCGCAATAATGTACCCGACAATAATTTAAAAACCTCCGGAAAAAAACTAATATCCTTAAAAAAGTAATAATTATAAAAAAGTGGCGTTGGGGACCGCTCCAAATATTTTATTATCTACTTACTACATATTTCAATTTTGTCGGGGGTCTAATTTTTTTTTTTATTTTACACTTTTTATAGGTATTTTATATTATTTTCTCTCGATAAAGTCATCAACGTTCCCTTTCAGTTCGCTTTCATTTGAGACCCCACTCAAATATATTTGCAGGCCTTCGGTTACCCTTCCCCACTTACCCCCATAACTTCTAAACAGCTCAACCGATATTCGTCAAACATGTCTAAGAACACTCGCAGTCTCGCACGTAAGTCACCTATAATACAAAAAAACCAAATTGAAATCTTTTCATCCGCTCAGGCTCCAGGATGCCACAGACAGACAGACAGACACGTCAAATTTATAACACTTTGATCAGATCTTGAAAAAAAGTTGGAGAGAATGGAGGCACGGCAAATCTCCGAAGGAATACAGACTGAACTATCGAAACAGCCCAGAATAGACACAGCTTTGGCTAAGAGTCTCTGCAAAACATCTAAAAGTCAGAATACGTGTAATGAAACCTGTGGAACTCAAGATAACCAGGACATTAACTCAGAGGATGTGATACAAAATAGTGGGTGGACAGAAGTAAACAGGAGAGAAAAACAGAAGTACAAGCAGCCCACTGGGATTATGAGAGGAACAGCTTCACCAGGTGCTACCCAACTGGAAGCTTCAGAACGCTGGCGGTACTTGCACTTATTTTATGTGAAGGTTGGCACCACCGAAAACCAAGTCAGTTCACACCTCAAGGCAATATGTGGTAGCGAGGCCTGCACGGTGGAAAGTCTTAAGGCAAGGGGCAACTATGCCTCTTTTAAATTAGGCGTACCTGTCAAACTAGCAGACAAAGTGATGGATCCGAAACACTGGCCTGAGGATATCTGCATTAAACCATGGCGCCAAAACTTTCGCAACAAAACTTTTCGTGAATCAAAAACATCTCAATAATGTAGTCAATAGTCCCCAAGTAAACACCAAACAACATATACTGAACCTCTACTACCAAAACGTCAGAGGACTTCGCACTAAGTTAAAACCGTTCTACCACAGCTTACTAACATCTTCAGCTGACTTTTTTGCTATTACTGAAACCGGTTTGAACAGTTCGATACACGACGGAGAACTTATACCAGATGGCTACGCTGTGCTGCGCTGCGATCGTGCTGATGGTCGTAAACACGGAGGCGTTATGTTAGTCAGTAGATTATATTGTGGTTTTGAAATGCAAATTTTGTCCATACCTGGTAGTACTAATCTAGACAATCGTTTATTTGAAATGGTATGTGCAACCATTCATCGCAATAATAAGTTTATTTGCTTATGTATAGTAGTTTATATACCACCTAATGCTTGCGAAAGTGAATATATGCTCATGTTTCACTTAATGGAACAACTGTGTATAAAATATGAAAAGACTGTGCTTGTTGCTGATTTAAACATGTATTCTGCTAACCAAAATGTGCAATGCTATTATGAATACTTTATCACTTATTGCGGATTCCGACAATGTAACAATATCTGTAACTGTAATAATCGCACGCTTGATGTAGTATTGACCACCTTTTCCAGCGAGGATCTACAGGTAGCTGAAGCAAGTGAGAGCCTGTCTTGCATCGACCCACAGCACCCACCGTTGTATGTGGCATTGACGAATGCGCGCGAGTGCATAGCGCGATCACAACATGCGGCACGGCCATCTCCTGCTACCCTTTACCCAAGATGGAATTTCGCTAAAGCTGACTTCTACTCACTATATATCGCGATGTCGCAAACTGATTGGAATGCGGTGTATGAGGCGGGAAGCGTCAAAGAAGCGTATGTTGTTTTTTATGATTTATTTTATAAAGCATTGGATGAAAGCACTCCCAGAAAAAAGCCTAAAGTCAGTGGATCTCGGTACCAATACCCGGAGTGGTATACGGCAGAACTCATAGGCGACATAAAGCAAAAAGCATTCTGGCATAAATCGTATAAGAGTAGTGGATCGACCAACGATTATCAAAAATTCTCACATTTTCGTTCTTTAGTAAAACGTAACATTTCTATCTGTTACAGTAACTATCAAAGCCGTATTGAGTCACAATTTACAAAAGAACCACGGTCTTTTTGGTCTTTTATAGGGAGTAAACGGTCGAAACGAAGTAAAACCCGTATCGTAAAAAATGGATTGCCCCTAGAAGAGGCTGAGTGTGCTCAGGAGTTCGCAGACTATTTTAGTTCGGTGTATGGAATAGAGGAGCCACGTCTGGACGCAGAGGCCGCTGCGCGCGAGGCGCCCGAGTGCGGCACGCGCATCCACGTGGGGCAGCTGTCTCTCAAAGATGTGCTAGCTGCGCTTGCGCGTCTTAAGCCCAAGCGGTCGGTGGGTCCAGATGGGGTTCCACCCTATGTTGTAAAGGATTGCAGTAGATCGTTGGCTCGCCCACTGCAACATTTGTTCAATCTCTGCCTGAGAGAATGCGTTTACCCTGATGGGTGGAAATTAACTAGGGTAACTCCAGTTCCTAAGGGTGCGCCTAGCTCGGACGTGAGTGGCTACAGACCGGTTGCAGTGTTATCTACCTTCGCCAAAGTCTTTGAAACAGCGCTTTGCGCGTGCATCACTCCTCAGGTCAGCGCGCAGCTAAGTGACGCTCAGCACGGATTTCGAGCAGGTCGCAGCACGAACTCGAACCTCATGTGCTTTATGAACAAGGCGGCTCCGGTTCTTGATTCCGAAGCTGGCGCCCAGCTTGACGTTGCATATTTCGATTTTAGAAAAGCGTTTGACAGCGTTAATAATGACGTTCTCTTGTGTAAATTGGCCACGGCTGGGTTTACTCCAGACCTGCTACAATTTTTTTCTAGTTACCTTGGGAACCGTAGGCAGTTTGTAGAGTACAGCGGCCACATATCGAATCAGTACCGCACTCTATCTGGGGTGAGTCAAGGAAGTAATCTGGGCCCTTTAGAATTTGTTATTATGATCAATGATCTTCCAGAAGTAATAAAGAACGCGGATTGTTTACTCTTTGCCGACGACTTAAAGTTGTTTTTACAAATCGCCGATGAAAGAGATTGTGCACGCTTACAGAGTGATATTGACTTGGTAGTTGAGTGGAGCCGGAAAAACAAATTGTACTACAATGTGGCAAAGTGCAATGTCATGTCCTGCACTCGTGCGGTCAGTCCTGTGCACTACATATACCAAATGGAGGGAACAGGCATCCCCCGCGTAGCATCCGTGCGAGATTTAGGAGTACTAGTTACGAAAGATCTGACCTTCCGTGAGCATATTGTGAAAGTTTGCTCCAAAGCATACAGAAGTTTAGGCTTCATAATGAGAGAAAGCAGAGACTTTAAGAATATTACTGCAATAAAAAGTTTATATAATGCATTGGTTAGGAGTCAATTAGAAACGAGTGCTTTCATCTGGAACCCCCATGAGGTTAAATATAGCCTCATGGTGGAGAAGATGCAAAACAAATTCACACGCTATTTATATTTTAAGCAGTATGGGGTATATCCATTTTACCCACTTATGTATCCAACCCTATTCGTCTTGGGTATGGTGGGATACTATAAGTTGGAAGTTAGACGCGACCTAGCACTAGCTAAATATATATTTGAGGTTATACGAGGAAAAATAAATAATCCGTCGGTATTGGCTTCTTTGAGGCTGCTTGTCCCAGACACCAGGCTAAGGCTCAGGGCAAGACAGAGACTGTTTGAGGTTCCGTCAGCCCGCACAAATTTGGGAAAATATGCACCAGTGCCTAGGGCTATAAAGCTCATCAACAAGGTAGCACTAAAATTAGATATATTTAATTGTACAATGGCGGAATTCGTAAAAGTGACTACTGACATTCTAAGTTCATGTGGATAGTTTAAGAATTAATTATTTTGTGTTTTATTTATTATATTTGATTTAGGCGGGAGCTCTTAAAATGTTTTATTTTTTATGGCAGTGGAAACTTTTGAATTATTAAATTATTATTTTTATTTGATGTATATTGGTTATGTTTTTCTTATTAAATTTCTAAGATTTTTATGTGACATTTCTAAGATGTTTATTTTTAAGTGATAAATATTTTTCTATTTTAATTTCTCTTGGACATGTTTCTTTATTTTCTTTGACTATGTAGTTTAATTTATATGATCTTAATTTTAGGTTGGATTTAATTGTTCATTATTCTCAAATGTTTGACATGTATAACAATATAAAACGCATTGGGTGTACACCTGTAAAGATTATATTGTAAACTTTTAAATAAATAAATAAAAATAAATAAATAAATAAACACCCCTCTTTTCCCGTCGGGGTTAAGGGTCGGGTCGGGGTAAGCAGTGAACGGATATTAAGACGCTTACATTATGATGACCTTGATCTGTAATGGCTAAAATTGTCTAGTGTAAATATACACTAGACAATTTTAGCCATTACAGATCAAGGTCATCATAATGTAAGCGTCTTAATATCCGTTCACTGCTTATTACTAGCGAAACTTAATATTAGAAAGTAAATATTATATCTAAGTACATACATAAATCTAGAATCTAGACGTCTAGCCAACTGGTTGGACCTAGAAAGTTTAAAAAACTTGATAATCGTCTTCTTTCCTTGATGTACTGTAACTGCTATAGCTGTTCAGATGATAAGTAACCGGAACTAAATAACGGTAAAAACTGTCTCTTTTCAGTACAGCGGTTGAACTACTAAGTATGGGTTATTTTAATTATTAGAAACCTTTACTTAGCACTTTTTACCTAAAAATTGGAATCAGGAAGCGGTAATTAGTATTTTTGCAGTATAACTAAACTCAATGAAATGGTCAAATGTACCCTATAATAAAGTCATCACTATCACTAAATAGTATATAATATAATATGTATAGTATAAAATAAAGTCGCCCTCTCTGTCCTTGTATCTAAATGTACGCTTAAATCTTTAAAACTACGCAACGGATTTTGATGAGTTTTTTTTAATAGATAGAGTGATTGAAGGAAGGTTTATATGCATATTACATAAATCTTTTTTTATGGTATAAGTCGGCAAACGAGAGGGCGGATTACCTGATGGTAAGCAATCGGCGCCGCCCATGGACACCCGCAACACCAAAGGAGTTACGAGTGCGTTGCCGGCCTTTTGGGGATAGGCGTTGCGACTATAAGGTTTGGGAAGGGATAGGGGAAGGGGAGGGATTGGCCCTACGGTAACCTTACTCACACGCGAAAACACAACGCTGTGGGTTGTTTCACGCCGATATTCTGTGAGGCAGTGGTCGTGGTATCACTCCGGTCGAGCCGACCCATTCGTGCCAAAGCTTACTACGTACTGAGATATTAGATAGATTTTGTAGCTTGGCTCTCCCACGCTTGGAAGAGCCAAGCTACAAAATCTATCTAATATCTCAGTACTTAAACCAACCTTAATACTAGCTCAATGAGCTCAACAAGCAATAATCAGTGTTTCAACAAACGTGATTATTACAACGGAGTCAAGTAATTGCTACGTATAACGATAACGAAGGGCCATTTGCCAATTGCTGGCACAACGATTCTGATCGTTTAACATGCTATATACAATAAATTTTATTTACAATTCTGTACGACCAATTCATCATCATCATCATCCTATAAGTGACCACTGCTGAGCAAAGGCCTCTTCTCACGGAGAAGGTTTTAGCATTAACCACTACGCTTGCTCAAGGCGGATTGGCGATTAAAACTTGTAATTAGAAATTAAAAGGCTACGTTTTTCCTCACAAAGTTTTCCTTCACCATATGTCTGTGGTGTCAAACCAACTTAGAAAGTACTTTGGACTCGGCAATGTCGTATTAGTAAAGGAAAAGTTTGTGATATAACCATCGTGCCACCACAACAATTACAGCCAATTATCAAATACTAGGTTTTGCAAAAAATAGTTTTTCTTACTCCCCAAACTCCCCAAGGAACATACACGCCAAAGTCCAAAATAAAGATTCCATGAAAATGTGTTCAATCGTTCTTGAGTTTTTCGCGTTCAGATTTACTAACATCTTCGTTAATAACTTGTGTTTTGCCTGTGTACAGATTTTTAAACTATTTACGTAGTAATACATGTGATACAGAATGTGACCTATATCGCTTTATACATAATGAAAAATGTTTAAAAAAAAGTTAAATCTACCTTGATTGAACTTTTACTAAAACTTTTCGAATTGCAATCTCATTTTATTTATAATTTCATAGCCAATGGCTTTTAACTTTTTACCTGAGCTCATCAAGGAAGGATAGCTATGTTTTTTCTAGAAATATAAATGTATTTTCTCCTAAAAATATTTGTCACCCGAATCACACGTAAGTCACGTAACCGCCTATTTCCGCTTGCAATAATATTTGTTCACTTGCACGTTTGTGTGAGTGAAATAAATCAAATGCGTACGCGCAGGTCCCGCGTTATTCTTACAGCCAGTTCTGCTAATGTACCATCATCTTATTGCATGTTTGTATATGTTAATTGCAAGCTTTTATTTTACTTGTAATGTTTGTATGTGAAATGGTATCTTAGAACTACATTTTGAAGCAGATACCTGCAACTGGTTGAGCTGAATTTTTGTATACACGTTTAGTACCCATTTTTTTTGTGAGGGTATATCATCGAATGACTTCTTCCGCTCAGGGTCGGGCGGGAGTGAGTGTCAGATACTTACTGCCTAAAAACGCCCCGTTCTCTTGCTCTGGGCCTAGGCCGCCGGCTTCATCCAGTTTTTCACATATAAATTGACGTGTAAAAGTGTTGTTTTATGGCCTATTTGCAAAAATAAATTCATTGCTTCATTGTTTAGGTCGCGGTGCCTCATTGCGCTTTCCCCGCAACCCCGGCTGAACATCAGCCCTATTTGGCCCCGTCTGTGGACGTTTAGTTCCCATAACTGTGAATGCTAAGCTGCATGATTTTCTTCTTCATCCATATTTCTGTCTCTTTCTTTTCTTTATGTAGCTAGCTCCCTTTAGTTTCGTGTAACAGCCTACAGGTGAAATGTCTTTTTACTGGCGATGTGTTTAATAATTATGATATTTGAATGGGCGTTATGATTAAACAACCGTGATTTTTCCGTTTTTATATATAGTTTTTATACATTCGAGCGCAATCTCGACTCGTACCGTGCCAGTATTTTATGTCAATATAGTTCTTTTTTAATAAGAAGTTAACTTACATTTATTAGAAATGTATCCTTAAACTTTTACCAGAAATGAGCGTTCTCTGACAAACTGAACCCTGGAGGCAGGCAATTTTGTGCTGAAGTTGTGCCAGGCACAGAGACACGTTATGTAGATGAAGTTCATAGTCCAGAAGTGCTGACGACGACCACAACAGACGGGGCCCAATAGGGCTAATGTTTAGCCGGGGTTGCTGGTCAAAAGCAATAAGGAAGCGTGACTTCGGCATGGAGCAGGACAAGGAACGGTCAGTAACAGTCTGACACTCCCTCTCGCCATAGGCAAAACCCTGGCCAAAAAAAGAAGTACCGATGCAGTCTGTTGATATTGATATCTATGATAAACCCTACAATTAAAATAATAAGTCCTAATTTACTAAATTGCTGCTAAGAACGCGTAGGCGGAAAGGCAATTCTCATAAAATTTATTCCGCCCAGGCGCTCTTAAATGACAATTGAATACAATACTACTATGTCTGTGTGTAAACAACCACACATAAGCATTAAATTGCCACTCAATTCATATTGATGCGCAGTTATTAATATGACCTGTAAAGGGACAAGTTTTGAAGTACACTAGCCACACAAAACCAGCTTGTAATGGTCTTGTTTTATTTGATCTTTCCTTACATTCAAGGGTCAGTTTATACTGGTTTGCACAGCTTAGTGTGTAGTTTTGGTATAGAGACCGCAGCACGTGGTAATCACACAGTTAATTAACTTCTACTTTTTGGCAGTTATTGGTCAGTCAATAGTATATCCCGAAAGTGTTAAAATCTCCAAATAGCAGCCTAGGTAAAATAAGAATGCAAAGAACTGACCCGAATATACTTGAGATAAGCGCAAAAGAGTTATGCCAAATAGCAAACGCTAGTATGTTATCATTTCTAGCATTATAACAATTGATATGACTATAATCGATTGCAGCGCCATCTATGATCGCAAATATAACGAAAATGTGATTTATTTCATAATAATACTAAATCGTTTCCAAGAATCTCCAATGATGAATTATTTAAGCGAAGAGCTTACGTCTTCAAATAGATTAAGGTCAAATCAAATATGTAAACAGTTGTTCAATGGAATCGATGGTATAACCTCCCTAACCCTCCCTAATGGGGGTAAAGCCCGCCTTCAACAAACATGCTGTTTCTAGTTGCTTTTTCCGAAGTTTTTTTTTATCATTGGTTGAAGTTATGTTGTCTTGGTATGGCCATGTGAAAAGGAGGGATGAAAAGCATGTAACAAAAAAAGTCATGAGTATAAATGTGGATGGATGGAGAGGGAGGGGGAGACCAAAGAAAATATGGATGGATTGTGTGAGAAGTGATATGGAAGACAGAGGAGTTAGCGATAGCGTGACGAGTGACAGGACAGAATGGAAGAAAAAAACATATTGCGCCGACCCCAAATAAAACGGAACAAGGGCAGGAAGATGATGATGGTTGAAGTTGTTTATTGTTTAGTTTTAGGATACACAACTTATTGCATAATTGGCCAATAGGTGTACTGCAAATGTCCCTATCGCCTAATTTGGGGATTTAATAAGCTTAATGTTATGACTAAATGCTTCTGAAGATTATACCGCGACACGTTGCACCGACGAACCTATACATCCATTTTTTTCTCTATCATTTAATAGAGTAAGAAATATCGCTCAATGTTTTGCCAAGCTCAAATCTCGAGAACAGCTAAATCAATTTAGAAAACACAACTTTGGAATGATCTTTCGCTGGTATTTGTGACCGATACGACCTTATAACCGTCAAGAAAGGAGACAGTACTCTTTCTTAAAAAACAGGCAACGCGCCTCTGACTCCTCCGTTTTTGCGGGTGTCCATGGCCGGCGCATATCACTTACCATCACATGATCAGTCTGCTCATTTACCTCTTATATTTTAACATAAACAGACAGTACCGAATGGGTCGGGTCGACCGGAGTGATACCACGGCCTCACAGGAAACCGGCGTGAAACAACCACAGCGTTGTGTTTCGCAGTGTGAGTGAGGTTATCAGAGGCCCAATCCTTTCCCTCCCTCAATCGTTAAATCCCCAAAACCCGAATCCCAAAAGGTCGGCAACGCACTCGTAACTCCTCCGTTATTGCGAGCGTCTATGGGCGGCGCTGATTGCTTACCATCAGGTGATCCGTGTGCCCGTTTACCTCTTATACTTTAACAAAAAACACACCATGATGATAATGATTTCTAACACACATACCTACTGCAATTGTTCTATCAATACAAAAGGTTACTGCACACCGACTTGATTATTCTAGTCGCGTGTATAGTGCCCATTCATCAGACAATACATAAAATCTTTAAATAGTATATCGGTGTTTAGGTTAACAGAAATGAGGCTTAATATAATGAAATAAAGTTTGAATATAAATTCTGAACTTTTCACTTTTACAACAAAGTAAGTATAAAAATACTAGCTTCCGTCCGCGTGGTATGTTGATAGAAAGCAATCTATCCTATATCCTATCTACATACCAAACTTTTCCAG